GGAAACCTCACGAGAAACACGCTCAACAGTAGAAATAGTATCACATTACAGAATAAGTAGGATGAAGTTTGGGCAGCAAGAGATGGAAAAATTGAAAGTCCTGCTGTTTGCGCTTAGACCACATTCCGAGTGACAGCACTGAGGTAGGGACCAGTTGGACAACGCGATGAGCCTGCGCGGAGAATTTCGGACAGAATCCATGACATTTTTGTAACTTCATCCCTTGCTGACTTCCAATGAGTTGATTTGTTCGGCGTAGATTGGCCTTGTGAACTTCTGACGGCCAGGATAATGTGAGCATAGCATCGGACCACATTCCACTGCCCTAGTTGAGCGCGTCCGTAATTCTTTCCTCCTACATCCAATGAAGATGGCTTTCAATCAGCTCGAGAAGGAGGAGAGAGATATCGATGGAAGTAGTGAAATGAAAAAGTGGCGAGACATTATGACCTGATGCGACAAGGGTTAGTGGGCAAGGGCTCGTCTTTTCCAGGTCGAGATGCGCCTTTCATTGACTTCCCTACCGTTTCGCAGGCTTTTGATTTCTCGTCTGCTGTGAGGGGCGTCACTCTGACAGCTGTCAACCTTCGATGGTGGCCAATAGTGGGTAATGGAGGGAGCAACACTGTGACCACTGGATTTTCATTTGTGCCCATCTCAGCGAGCTCTTCTCCCTACGTCGCATCTGTAGAACTGGCGTCAAGTTAGAGGAATGCACCATAGTCACAATGTCACTTTAACCACGATGGATGCCTTTCTCGCAGAGCACGCAGTCAGTGCATGATCATCGTATGCCAAGTATGGAGCTAGATGGGCAAGGGGGCGACACCAGAGCAGTCTGTTTCATATCCGAGGACGTGGTTCTGGTTGCGGGTCTTTAGCCATGCGTGTCTCGTGGCTCATCTCGACAAGCGCACAGTATGCGCTTGTTGTTCCATTTTGAAGATTGTGCGCAGCATTTCTTTTGAGGCTTGTTCGGACGATTGCCGTCGCGGACTCTGGACATGGGGATAAGCCATATTTTAAGGTTGGAAACAGGAGGCTCTCTCAGCGTCATGGACCCAGTCAAGGAGGGGGCTTGTTCGGTTCGTATCTCGGGTTCCGACACGAAATACGCAGAGGTAGCAACCAACTTCGGACTTTTCGGGTGCGACAGAACCCATGGTTGCAGAGATGCGGCCCAGAAAGGGTAGTAAGACAACCGGAAGCAGTCCGAAGAGACGCCATCTTATCTCAGCGCAGGGATAACAAGTTGGTTGAATGCAAAGTGAAGGAATTGAATTCATCCATGGCCTGCGCTGTGTGTGCGATGCGAGGAATTGAGCCGAATCAAAACATCCTCGGCACGGAGGAAATGTTCTTCCGGCTTCGACTCTCCGACTCCCAACTTCCCTCTCTCGCTCTCAACCTCGACTTTGATATCGCAAGGATATGCTCCTTAGGATGATCCTTGACCACCGGCACAATACAAGTCCTGCATATCCATCTTAACGCTACCAAGGCTTAAGCAAGACTACGGAAAACTCCTTCCGCCTTGTTGCCCAGGTTCGGTATTGCTTGGGCTGGTGGGTACAGCCTTGTCCTAACCGCTTTCGGGCTCAGCTTGCGAGATCACACCACAGCATCCAATACCCTTTTGCAATGAGCAATGGGGGAAAGAGCCTTCTTTTGACTTGTTCCGCCGTCATTGGGTTATGGTAGTCACCCTGGGTCGACGGTCCAACCACATGGCATGCGTCTCGACAGACACGAGTTGGGCAACGAGACGCCTTTTCTTAGATCTCGAGACAAACCATGTGTATCCACCAGAAGCCGCCCTATCGTATGCCTCGTGTTTTGCCTAGACCTTGCGCCCAGGGACGGATTGTCATGTCCCAATCATCCGTATTCGCGTCCCTGGCAATCCGAGAGCCTTGTTCTGCAGCTCTCGTGTCGTCGGCTCCTGGTTTCGTTGGTGCCTGGGGATCCATCATGTATGACTCCGAGTACATATAGGTGTATCTCTGTATGGGTCTTTTCTTCTTTGACTCCTTCAAAAGCCGTGCGAGTATCACCATTGGTATCCCCCGTTGTTACTCTATCACCTTTACCCATTGTCTAATCCTCGAACCCCCCCCCCCCCCCCCCCCCCCCCCCGGGGTTGTCCTGATCAATGGCTAACAACAACGACAACTCGACGTTTTTTCTGCCCCTCGCCAACTGCACCGATGTCACACCCCGATGTCCTGTTGAGCACTCGATCTATGGCTATTTTCCTTCGATCGGGGCAAATGCCCTCTTCGTGGCCCTTTTCGCCATGTGTGGCGCCCTACAACTTCTCTGTGGCATCCGCTACAAGACATGGACGTACCTGATTGCCATGTTGCTGGCCTGCGTCGACCAGGCGCTCGGATACGTTGGCCGTGTGATACTGCACAACAATCCGTTCGACAGAGTGGGCTTCCAGATCCAGATTTGCTGTCTGATCTTGGGACCTGCCTTCAACTCTGCCGCCATCTACCTGGTTCTCAAGCACATCACCCTCGCTTTCGGGCCACAGTACTCCAAGATCAGGCCGAACTGGTACACATGGATCTTCATCACCGGAGATCTCATATCCCTGATCATCCAGGCAATTGGCGGCGGCATGGCTGCCACGGCCGACGACAACCAATCCCAGCAAGACACGGGCGACAACTTGATGATGGCCGGTATTGCCTTCCAGGTAGTCACCTTGATTTTCTTCGGCAGTGCTGCGTCGTGGTACGTCTTCAGCCGCTGGCGAGGGCGCGACGAACCCCTATCCCGCGAGGCGAGCGGCTTTCTGAGTGACAGGAAATTCCGGTTCTTTGTGTACGGCTTCATCGTCGCTTACGTGGCGATTCTGATTCGGTGTATCTACCGTATCGTCGAAATGGCTGGTGGGTGGGCGAACCCAGTGATGCAGTTTGAGCCTGCCTTTATTGCGCTTGATGGATGGTATGTATTGGCCGATTTCCCATTTCCTCCTATCGTCATCTCTAATCACTTCCATGTCCTCCCCAATCCTCCCATACCGAGTAACCAATCTGAGAATCCACAAGACTGATGTTCGAGCTCTTTTCTAGCATGGTCATCATCGCCACACTGGTCCAAACCATCCTGCACCCAGGATTTTGCTTCCCCCGCCTATCGAGCGCATACGTCCCGCCTCAGTCGACGTCGAGCGTGTCCGCAGCTCCCAAGGAGTACAATCCGTCAAGCATGCTCTCGACACCTCCCGGCGAGTCGGTCGAGATTGAAAGGGAGAAGCAGGGTGCCAGGGAGGAGGCTTGAAAAGTTTGGCCCCGGATGGTCAAGCTTACAATTCATCTAGCAAGGATTCTGATACGGCAACGGTCTCTTACGGCATTACCCACATTATTCCTTTTCTTTTTGGATACCACGACAAACAACACCCTGTCGTCGTCTTTTCTGTCGTCAACAGCCTCAGGAACTCTTCGACGTCCAGAAACAGAGGGTGCTTCCAGCACTATCTCACCTCGCGCTACACCCATGGACGTGTGCGATCTGAAGGTTCCAAACAGATAGAAGTGAGGAAACAGCCACTCTGTTCGCAGACCAAGATATTATTGCGGAGACTCGTCCTCGCCAACGCAACCTACAGACATCGTGGCTGAAGACAAGGATACCTTCCTGAAAGCATTGACAACGACGCATCATCTATCCCCCCATGGATCATGAGTGACAACGGATAACGAACGCCAAGGTCCCATTCCATTCGCGCGCATGGGACACATCCCAAGATTCTTCTCTATGAACAGCGACTTTGCAGTCGTTTTCACCACTTTAGTATTCTTGGGTTTCCTCACATTGGATGTCCTCAGTCCTTCCCCCCCCTTCGAAGACCAAGACATGTCATGGACTCTGACAGAGGACCATCCAACTTTCCTTTGCTTACATGTCATGCTCGTATGGTTCTGCCTCTTTGCCTGTTTTGGAGTTAGAGAGCATTTTGTGCGTGTGTATAGAAGGGAAAGAGTTCCGGGATAGAATTGAGAGATATGTACAACAACAACAACAACGCCGATAAAATCAACATCAACAATAATGATACGAGGCAGGCAATGAAAATAGAGGTTTTGATACCGTGATACTACGAAATACTGTCATCCACACAATTTCCATTCCCATTTCCATTTCTATGTACTTACCGCACACATAGATCGACGGATAGACATGTGTATTGGCAGGTTGGTAGGTTCGGTAGATGAAGGAACGTGCAAGCACCCAGCGCCAGCTTGACATGCCAACTGTCACTGAGTGAGATGATGGAGAGGAGAACGTCGTCGGTATCATCGCCACCGTCGATGCCACTGTCTCTTTCGCCGTCACGATCCTGGTCGTCACTATCAAGGCCATGGTCACCGTCAAGGCCATGGTCGTGGTCATCGTGGTCATCTTCTTTGTGGCTGTCGACACCACGACCTCCGCCATCGCAGTTACGATCATCATGACGGTCCGTGGTGCACACGATGTACAACTTCCAGGAGATAGGACGGATGGACAGGTGGACAGGTAGATAGGTAGATGACAGCTAGATACACGCCAGACACAACTCGTCTGCAACACAATATAGACGGGGCGGCGAACCGCGGACAACAAAAGAGCGAATGAGAGGGGGCCCGGGGGGAGTTGTGGGGGGGGGTTGGGGACTCTGGTTCGAATGCGGTGGCACGTAAGCACAACAGAGGATGTGCTGTGGTAGATCATTAATGTACGTGGTCGGCGGCGACGACATCGTAAGGAGACCGTCATGGCGATCAGAGTGAGAGACGGTGGCGGGGGCGGCGACGAGGACTCTAGCAACGCACTGACGAGAAAAGCAATGAAGAAGAAAACATTGTGAATGTTGTTGACATTTATTGCACTATTGTAGTGCCTCGGTGTGCCTCCTTGCGTTGTCATCCTGTCATCTTGTCTCACCCAAGCTCTAAACACGCGAAACCCCCAAGGGGAACTTGCCGTGAGGGACGGCCGTCTCACTTCTCCTTGGCCTCGTCCTCCTTCTTGCCAGTGGCCTTGTTGCCACCAAGACCCTGGATCTGCATGGCCTCCAACTCGCCATACCACCCGCCCATCCCCCCGATGTCAAACCCGAACCCCTGCTCTCTGGCACGAGCGTTCGCCTCCGTTCCGGCCCTGCTGGCCCTCATCCGAGCGGCCTCGGCAGCACGTTGCTGCCGGACCGCGTTCAACGCGTCATCGCGCCCGATTGTCAATGCCTCCTGCGTCGCCTTGGTGGCAGTGGCACGCAGAGGTTGCTCTCCGCGTGCCGCCGCCACCGTCTCGGAATGTAGAAGGCGCTGTCTGGCCTGCGCGAAGGCCGTGCGGCGAGCCGCAGCAGAAGGGAAGTTGGTGTTGACAAGATCCTGGAGCTCCTGGTAGAGTCGGTTCTTGGCAAGGCGTTGGATGGCAGTCTCACGTGGTTCTGCGGCACGTGGCTGTTGAGGAGTGGTGCTGGATCCTGCAGTCGCAGCAGAAGCTTGACGACGACCAGGGCAAACACGAGGAGGTGGTGCAGTGCACTCATCAGTACCAGGCGCATCAGTGGCAGTGGCAGTCGTGACAGTGGCAGTCGTGGGAGTAGCGGTAGTTGCGGTAGGAAAGTTAGCGCCGTGTCTAGCTAAGCGTTCACGAATTCTTTCATGACGACGAGCTCGGATAGTCTCCAGATCAGGGTAACCAGATCGAGTGCCGGCAGAGGTACGACCAGTGGTGGCAGGACCAGGAATTGGAGGACCAGTAGGAGTAGGACCATCAGCGTCAGTGAACATGTCGGTGTGGATGACGGATGCAGCTGGGAGTCTTGAACGAGCGCGAAGATTCAACGGATCGTCATCTTCAGCAGTGGACTTGTTCGTGGCAGAACCATGAGCACTAGTAGACCATTTCGAACGACGATTGCGGAGACCATACGGATCTTCATCTGTGCGTGTGTCGTTGATGGAAATATTTCGAGCACCAGCAGTCAAAGTAGCAACATGGTCATCAGGAGTGACAGTAATTTTGCGACCAGCAGCGGCATTGCCAGCTCCAGCAGTTCTAGTAGCAACATGGTCGTCAGGAGTGATGTTGCGACCAGTAGAGGCAGTGACAATTCCAGCAGTCATGGTAGCAAGAGGTTCATCAGGAGTGACAGCAATGTTGCGACCTGTGGTAGCAGTGGCGAGAGGGAGAGTGATGTTATCTTTGTTGACCTGTTTGCCTTTGACATCTTCAGCAGTGGACTCGACTTTGGTGACAGAGGACTCAGCAGCAGCGGTAGCAGCGGCAGCGTCATCCTCGCTGGTATCTTCTTTGTCATCTTCCAAGTCTTTGGCACCTTTGACAGCGACATTCTTCTTGGTGTTATGATCTTTGTCAACTTGTTTCTTCTCAACAGGTTTGGCAGCGACATCCATGTCGGCGGCTTTGTCTTTGTCATCTTGTTTCTTCTCAACCGGTTTGGCAGTGTACTCCATGTTGTTGGAGTCTGGTTCAGTAGCTTTCACTTTGCCTTCACCTTTGTTCTTGTTGTTCTTGCGGCCAGTCTTCTTTGGTTTACCCTGGATGAAAAGATTCTGCTCATCAGCCATGTTGTTCATTCTGACGGCGATGAAGAATTCGAGAGGTCGAGGGTCGATGTCAATGGTCTTTCCGTTTCTGATGGCAGCAGCGATCTCGATGATGCCGATGCAGGTGAAAGGACGGTAGTGTTCGACGTAGGTCTTGAAGGGAATGTCGACAGCTTTGTGGTCTGGGTTACGACGGAGGAAATCTGCGCACTCAACCGCCCAGTCGAAAAAGAAGTCGACAATGATGCCAATCACGTCAAATTCGTCGAGGAAGGATGGAGAGTCAATGACGTCCTCAAACTCAACAGGATTGGTGCCTTTGACAGGTCTCTGACTGGTGAAGAGGCCGATGAATTTGTTGGTTTTGATAGCGTGAACAATTTCAATCTTGACGTCCGTGTCAACACGCCACTCCCTCTTGCCAGTCGACTGGTCAACAGTCAAGTAAGCAGTGGTGAAGAAGTGACGAAGGAGATCTCGAGCGGCGTCTTTGCTCCTCTCAAAGGTGTGGAAAACACGCTCTCCGAGTAAGCAGGCCTGCAAACACGAGACGAGTTTGTGTCAGTAATGAGGAGACTCTGAAATCGCTGTCACTCGCTGTAACATGGGTAGAAACTCACAACTTGTCTGTAGTCGTCGCCCAGATCGATCTGTTGAAAGGTGCCACTCAAGATGGTAGGATTGGGAGCGTTTGAAGTGTTGACAAAAGAATTGAGTGCTCTGGCGACTTGCGTGGGCAAAGAAATTGAAGGCCTCTCAGTGGTGGTCTTGGCCGATTCTTCCGTAGATGATTCCGGAACCTGGTTAAAGAAGTCCTGAGTAATGCGAGCATGGCGCGCAGCCTTCTTTGAGTTGTTCTTGCCCATCGCGCTTCGTGGTTGAACGATTGGCAGCGATCGAGCGCGGGTTGAGGGTGTGCGAAGGACAGTAGAAGCGCGACAGTGAACCGTCCGACGAAGACACTTTTGAAAAGCGTTGAGAATTTCGTGTATGCCATAGCTTGGCGCTGGCGACAGTGTGCTCACCCATCTTTTCTGCCACACCCGCAGTGAAGACGAGTGAGCACACTGTTGACCATGCCATACTGTGCTGTAGAGGTGGAGGATATGATGTCGACATTGGTTTTGGTCTGGGGAAATACTAGCGCCTTGGCAGCCTTGTCCAGCCTTGGCCAGCCTTGCCAGCTTGACCACCTCTCACTGCCTCAATGTCCTCTCATCGATCACCAGACCGCAGCCAGACTTACCTTTCCCTCCTCTCACAGTCCACACCAACAGCCGCTCAACAAGTCATGATGTGTCTCAGGAGGGCCTCAACTGCATCGCGAGAACAATAAATGCTTTGAGATTGAGCGGACACTCTTCACCTACCCAAATCGGGTTTGTCCGCCTGGCACCTACCTACGTCCTTTGTGGCGGACGTACTCTTCAGATGAGGACGCCGTTCGTGAAACGCCGCTTCTGTCCAGTCTCTGAGTATCCACACCTTGCGGACCCCTTCTGGTCTTGTCACGAATATCCTGTTAGGAACGATTTGAGAGAACTCGTGCATGTTTGAGAGCCCATCAACTGCATCATTTCATTGGCATCATTACAGGGGTGGTATATCTGGGCTCATCCAAAGCCCTCCACTTGCACCCTTGTTGCTGTCCGCCGTGGTCGTCAGGATCATGGAAACAAAGTCTATCAAACAACCGAAACCCGTTTCTGATCATCAGGCCAGTCCAAAAACGAGAAGCCATCGCAAAAGGGAAACAAACGAGCAAAACTGGGGATATCATCGCAAGATCAAAGTCACACAAACGAACGTCAAAAACAACCTCAGTCACGGGATCAGCTACCCATGTACATCTGCTGTGCCCCAGGGTTCGAAAAATCCATGCCGGTGCCACTAACGTAGCCGTCAGATATGTCTTCGTCATAATACTCTCCGCCGCTTGATGCATCGAAGCCTGCTCTTCCCATACCGCCGACATCGCTGAGGTCTCCTTGGTCGTCGACGGTCGAAATTTGCGACCAATCTATGTTCTGCAATGCAGGATACTGCTGCAGAAGCGCTGCGGGTAATGCGAACCCACCAGCACCTGTGGTGGGATCCATACCTATCATCATCGGTTGAGGAAGGGGTTGTAGCCCGCCCTGGTGGGCAAAATGTGCCTGCTGCTGTTGCTGCTGCTCCATCATCGCTCTGTTCTGCCTTTCTGCCTTCTCTTCCTCGAGGAGTGGTTTGATGCAAATCCGTCCGGCTTCACTGCGGAAATGTCGACCAAGTGCATCTGCCCTTGCGAACCGTCTCCCACAACCCCAATGCTGACCCGGTGTTGAATGGAGCTCGCCTTTGCAGACGAATTTCTTCTCTCCGCTGTGCAGGCCTTCATGACGTTTTCGATCATGCTGTCGTGCAAATGCTTTGCCACACACTGTACAGACGAAGGGTCGTTCATCGGTATGAGTCCGCAGATGCGATCGTAAATTATACGCTCTTGTGAACCGCTTCGGACATAGATTGCATTGGAACGTAGCGGGATGTTTTTGGACCCTCGTATTTGACCCGGATGGAGACGCGTTTGGTCTGGTGGGATCGGCGAGATCGAGGATATAATCCCTGCTTTGACCCATCGACGAGGTACTGGCTCGGCGATTCTTGTCGATTCGTCCAGATTGCACACCCGGTCCAGGAGATGATTCTCGAGACAGCGATTGGCCTCTTTCAGGGGTGCTAGACCGGACAGAAAGACTGTTGCGGTTGGCGTTGGTCGCGGTCAGCCCTGGCGAACTCGATCTTGACAGAGGGCGTGTGAATGTGACGTCGGATTTGCTTCGGTTGCGGCCCCCTAGATCTCAGATTAGCTTTCTTCACATATCATAATCGGGTATAGAGGAGCATACTGTTGTTGGACGGAGGACTCAAGGCACCTTCCGTAGTCTCGCCTTGCGGTCCAAAGCTCTGCTGTCTCGACACCGGTGCCGGTTCGATGTTGATGGTTGGAGGTTGAAACTGGTCAGCCTGACCAATGTCCGAAACGACCGACGTATTCCGTATATGATTACTCGGAACAACGGGAGGCTGGTATTGAGGTGGTTGTGTAGTATACACGTCGGGTACGGGGATTCCGAGAGGTTGACCCAAACGCAAGCCACTCCCATCCAGTCCAAGACCCTGCTGGTTGCCTTCCATGTTGGGCATCAGCCTCGGAGATCGGTACGGAGCCTGGTCGCCTAAACTGAAGCTTTCCATGCCGAACGCATTACTTGTGTCCGGTTGCGCGGGGAGATACGGCGAGTGGTTGATGTCGCCTCCTGTGTTGTGCAATTCTGAATGAGACAGATACGGGGAATGACTTGCGGACGAAATATCGCTATGTTCAGAGGGTGCCCTCCGGTGCTGTTGAAAACTCAAGCCAGAATAGGCACTGGACGGATCGAGGGAAGCGTTTCTTGAATGCTGAGGAGTGTAGTACTGGCCGTTTGTCGACGCAGGCGAACCCGGTTGGGACGAGTGATTTTCTGGAGGATGCAAATTCGGGGACTGATGATCCTGCGGCGGAGATAGCTTGCTCAATTCTGCCGGGTTCACATTGGTTTGGGAATTCATGTCGTAGGCTTGGTTCAGTGAATAGGTCTGGTTGTAATCGCCGGATATATCCTCGCCCTGGTACATGAAGTCCCCGCTGTTAAAGGGCTGACCCAGCCCCTGGCCCCCGAACTGATTGTCTGAATAGATGTTCTGATATTGGCCGTTATCATAGAAACTTGGCTCGTTTGGGATGGGTTGGAGGCCGCCTTGTTGCTGAGAAGCAAGGAACGGGTTGTTGAAGACGCTGCCAGAGGTATTGAACTTGCCGGTGGTCAGAGCTTGTTGAACAGAAGGGTCTACTCCTGGTACAATGCCGGGGTAGTGGTTGGGGGAAGGCTGAGGGCTTATGTGCTGCGCATTGCCTCTCGAGGGAGATCTCCCTCGAGAATTGTCCATCTTTTTCAACACAAACCACTTAGGCACAATCCACCGATTTAGTAGAGGCGCGGAGAAGGGGCCAGATGGGAAGGATTATGAACCGCTTGGGGCTGGCTGTCAAGAACGATGCTTCCTCTCGGAGTATAGACCCGTCGTGGGGCCGGTGTACGGTTCGAGATCGGACTCAATTGGGAGTCAGAATATGGTATGTAAATACACCTTATGAACTAGTCTGTGGCGCAGTAAGTCAGAGAAGATGCCTTTATATGAATGCGTGGTCGGATCAGGCTGGGGGCCATACTCAGCCGCGCAGTGAGGCTATGCCGCAGTTCGGATGATGATGATATAAGTACTTGTAGAGCGCCGTGAACAATTGGAATTCTCCAGACACAGTATTGCCTGGTCAGTGCGACACCGATCAAAGTGCGAAAATGAGCCGATACCCTTCGCGGTGGTTTGGGGATGAGGTCTTCGGTGAGTGTGATATAATAGCGGGCGGCGACGAGCTGGCGAATTGAGCGAGTTGTGGGGATGGCGGCAAGTTCAAGACGTCTACAAATGATGACGACGGCGAAAATCGTACAAGCAAAGGCAATACAGTCGATAAGAAGGTGAAGGATGTATAGAAATTGGATAGCGACGAAACATGCAGTATACCGGAGTTGAAAGACGACAGCGGGATGGAGGAGTGTGAGGTATGTAAGTGTGAGATGCAAGATGCGAGATGCCGGAATGGGGGGTGGGAAGAGGGAGGGTCTTCTAAAGAAAGGTGGTTAACAAAATACACTTGAAACGAGCGAAGCGCCACGCCGGGAAGTCAGTCTAAAGGCTCCCATTGGGTGTTGGGAGGTCTGCCCTAGGTACCATCGACTAGCCGGGGCCCTCTATTTCTCTAAAGTGTGTGCGAAAAGGCAGCCGAAAGATCCCTGCAGAGCTGCAGAAGAGCAAAGCCCAGGGACGGTACCTAGTATCTACAGTACCTGGCAATGCTTGGGGCCCTACGAGGTACACCTACGCATGGAGTATAGGGATCCCGGGGTACCTAAGTACCTCCCATCACCACTCTTAGGTACAAGTATCTCTATGATGAAATAAATACCCGTACCTTGCTCCCGCTGTCGGCCGCTCGTCGTTAATCACTCCACCTGCCCTCCCACCCATTCATTCGTCCATCCAACCATCATATTCTGAGCAATCAACCAGTGACTCAAAAGTGAGAGGCGTGGAAGCCCCAAATCAAGCTAAATTAACAAACCTGCCAAATTCCACACAAGGAGATTCTTGCAACATGATAGCATACCCCCCCAAATCCACATCTTCTGACGAGTAGAAGCCTTTTTCGAGTCCTTGGGTTGCCTTTTGGTGCAGCGAGTCGAGTTTCTACCCGTGATCCACATGCCACCCGCCTCGGGTTAAAATACTAGGAGCCACAATCACCTGGTGTGGCCTTGGGTTGAGCCGCCCCTCCTTCCCCTTGGGCCCTGGGCGGACCAGAATGACCGACAGCACCGAGTGTGGGAGAGTGTGTGTCTGCCTTGCTTTGTTAACATACTAGGGAGGTACAAGAGCTGGTATTGGTTCTGGTACTGGTGATACATATGGGGTAACTTACCTAAGTAGTCGTTACTTATTTAGGTCACTTCGTGTGCCTTGCCCGCTTCCTTCCTGTTTCCTGCTTCCTGCTTGATGATGTCGTGAATCCATAATCTAATACTACTGTACCGAATATCTCAGTGTCTCCCACAGATCCATGTCTATAAGCATAAGAGTGACGCTAGCCCGCCTGCTTCAGTTCCTGGTGCCTGGCATGATCATCGACATCAAGACATTGGCGTCATATCCTCCCCTAGTCTTTTGTATGGGGCCAAGCCAGATACAGACCGACAAGCACCCGAGTATCTCGTACAAGGTCCTTGTATCTCTAACTAGTACATGTGTTGTGGCTGTGTAGTGGGTGCCTGCCAAGCTATTCTGTCTCTACCAAAACCCGACCATCATAAAGGCCCAGCTACAGCACCAGTGAGGACTTCATTTTGATGCCGTGTTCCGTGACTTGATCCCACTTGGTGTGAGAACCAAATGCTGTGGTGTCTCTGGTGTGTCTCCAATCAAAAGAGAATGCATCATATTCCATACTGCAAATCTTTGGTCTTTTCATTACCGCCGTCCTTGTGTGGTTCTTCTTCTCCTGCTTACTTTTTTTTTGGATCTTGTGTGGGAATTCTTTTCTATTTTACACCAGTTCATCCAGCCTTTCAACAAAGGGATAGAAACCTGAGACCCCTGATATGTGCCTGCTCCAAAGTCGGCGCTGCTTCTTCTTGTTGATGTTGTAGTTTCCTTTTTTTCCTGCTCCTCGTTGTTCGAGGTAATGCCGATAGTCTTGATGCCGCGGACGCCGGAAACACCCTGCTCCCCAACCCAAAAAATGCTGCCATAGATAACACCCTGCTGACCCTTTTACATACCGAGGAAAAAGATGAGGGAACAAGGAAAGATGCTATGCGCAAAAGTGATCGTGATCCGTCGTCAAAGGATTTTAGCCTTGCCTGCACCGCCTGTTTTGGTGACGACAAGGGTTGTCTTGGTCATTCTCCTCGAGCCAACAGGTGCCAGATAGAGAAGGGTCCAGACCTCGAGCACAGAGGAATACCTCTCGTTCCGTGCTGACAGAGCAGAATCCACCAATGTAGGTGGTCAAGCACGGGGGGTTGGTCGTCGAGATCCGTGACATTTAGATCGCCCAAGCGATAATCATGATCGGCATTTTCAACCTAGTGAGACGTCAGCATTCACGTCAAGAGAATATCATATGCCTGGAACACGTACCACAACAAAGCACCTTCATCATCTTCTGGAAAAACCCAGGTTGCTGTTCCTGTTGTTGTGTGGTTCGGCCCTGGTTATTCTGCAAGGCCCCTGTCGCGGGGCTCGTCCTCGCCTGCTGGTTCACCAAGTTGGCGTTGCTGTTTTGGAACTGCGCCTGAGTACTTGCTGGAGGCGTGTTCATGTCCAGTTGGCCCGCTAGGCCACTGCTTCTCTTTGGGAGATTGCCCCCGGCGGCGCCGCTTGTGCGATCTCGAGCGCTCTTCCCCATGGCCGCTACTCCCGGCTTCGCTGGTGACCCTGGGGGCGGGGGCTGCGCTGCGTTTAAACGGTCGGCCGATATTGCTGCTCGGTCTCGCGTAGGTCGTTGACCATCTGAACCTCGGACGCCAGACGCTCCGTGCAATGCACGAGCAGAGGCATCGGCCGGGGGATTGGTGTTGTGCAGATGAAGTTGCGACGGATGTTGTTTAACAGCCTCCCATCCGCGACCGCCGTTCAACTTCATCCAGTCATATTCACCATCCTCCACCTCGCCCGTGTTCTTGAGCGCTTGGGTGAACAGATCCCGGAGGAAGTCGTAGTCCGGAGTGTCCTCGAAGCCCAAATTACGGACATAGCTGAGATATTTGTTAAACTCCTCTGCCACGCGAATCAGCAAACAAGTTCTGAAAGTTGGAGACAATTGGTCGGTGGTTTCTTACCCGGAAACCCTTCGCATAGATCCTTGATAGCTGTCGTCTGCTTTTTCTCACCAATCTTCTCGTACTTTTGTTTGTTCGTGGCTGCCTTCAGGCCCTGCCATGGTAGCCCGCCTCTCAAAAAGTACATGAAAACATGGCCCAGAGCTTCCAAGTCGTCTCGTCGTGACTGTTCTCGTCCCAAATGTGTATTGATACTCATATAACGTGCAGTGCCCGATAGCGATTTTCGTTCACGGTAAGGGATGTGTTGCTTGGTTTTTGGATCTCTATATTGTTTGGCCATTCCAAAGTCGACGACGTGAATGACGTTAGCAGCCTTGGTCCCTGGCCGGCCAATGAGGAAGTTGTCAGGCTTGATGTCGCGGTAAATCAAGTTCTTTTCATGGATCGTCTGTACTCTCGACAGCGACCAACAAGTTAGCATCAGCAGTTGATTCGGAGGGAGAGTGTTTGGTACCATCTGCTTGGCAACCATCACCACCGTTTTGATCGAGAAGCGTCTGTTGCAGTGGTCGAAGAGGTCTTCCAAACTTGGGCCGAGGAGATCGATCACAAGAATATTGTGGAGGCCCTCTTGGCCAAAGTAGTAGACATTGGGGATGCCAGCTGGACGACGAAATCAGTTTTCCCAGGTACAGAAACTCATAATGGGATAGGTGTAGCATACGACAGCCGACCAGGATTTTGTATGTCCTGTATTCATCGCGCAGCTGAGGGGCATCACTCTTTCTTGGTTCCTTTTTTTCGCCATTTCGTTAGACCGGTAAACAACGATGGTCGTTCCGACAACATAAACTCACAAACTTGATTGCTACTTGTTGGTTGTTGAGTAGATTGGTGCCTTCAAAAATGACACCGAAAGAGCCCTCTCCTATTTTCTTCCCGACGCGATAGTGCACCCCAACAACGTTGGAGGACGACGAGGCCATGGTTGTGACGAATAATTCAACTGACTAAGTGGTATACCGGGATAGCGAGGAGTGAACTTGTTCGACAAGAATGCTATTCTGCAGAGAAGGTAGGGCGTCGGAAGGGCTGTGTAGGTACAAAGTGCGAACGATGCCTTAGGGCGGTTCACACCTCCGCCACCGCGGTGACTGCAACAAATCAGTAAACACGCAACAATGCTTTTGCAAGCAGCAAGAAGTGGGAAGAGGGGGCCATCTTACGCTTCTAAAGAGATCAAGCAAAGCTATCGGATCATGCGGCGGGATATTGTGGTGATCAATGGAGGATGAGGATAGGGAAACACCATCTGCAGGATGAGTTGGGTTTCTCGACAAGGAGTTCGGTCAGAATCGAGCAGCTCCTGCCAAGACTGCGCAGGGAGCCAGCAATGGCTGGATTACTCTTCTGGCTCAATGGCTACAACCGCAGCCTGCCACCCACTGGAAAATGTGGAACCTGGCACCCTTGCACCCTGGGATCAGGAACCCTGACTTGGCGCCAGATATCAGTACCTTTGGACCTTTTGCTGATGTCAAACTTGGAGGGTTGATCAGGACAAGTGAGCAAGCGATATATAATGAGGGAGTCATGTACTGCACACGATGGACAACAAGAAGGTGAGAGATTAAGTGGGAGGAGGGGGGAAAAAGGAAGAGAACCAGTAGTAGTAGAGACAATACGAGTGTGCCTAGTACATAGCATTTGGTGAGTGTGAGCTGGCGGATAGGTCGACTGCAAGTAGGCGTCAGTTGATTTTGCAACTTCTCCGTCCCCAGTAGCAGCCCATCAACCGCAACCCCAAGCATCAGCGGTGGGCGGTGAGATGGCTGTCCCCCGGCCTAATCCCTACCAGTGCGAGTGGCTTTTTGTGAGGCTCCAACCGGGGAGAGGGCGAGGACTCCATCCAGTGAATTTTGTACTTGCACAGGCGGTAAGTCCGACGCCCGGCTGCTGGGGCCTCGCAATTAACCGCCAGAGCAAGTCTTAGGGCGCAGTTGGGCCACGGCAATGGCTACCCACACCTACCACCACCACATATTATCAGCTACTCGTACCTAGTACTTTCCCAGCGCACCCCAGACACTGATCACGCAAGGCGAGCTCTAGGCTTCCAGACATCCAGACTTCCCGGATGTCCCATTCTGGCTGAACCGCCCAGATTGAGCTCGGAAAAAATCAAGAATAGCAAAAGATTATGTAATCTCTACTCATTTCATCGTTCACACCTATTACATCTCTTGCCTCATGTCGCTGCAAGGTCGAGCGGCCATTGACATCTAGGCGGCAATAGTCCTTCGAACCCTTGATTGTGCTTTTGACTGGCTCAGGATCCGCCACGCTTGATGAGGCGCCGACATCGTTGTTGACAGGAAGGCTAGAGATATGCAGATCAGTGCATGCAACCGAAGCTCGTCCTCTGTCGATCTTCTCCATACAATTACAAGTAGTCCAGCTTGCCTCCCCTTTTGGAAACCTCATCTTTGGGCGTAATACAAGGTGCCATCTTCTCGAACATTACCCAGCCACCATGCGCTCATTCTTCGGTTACTCTGCATTCCATCATTCATTCTACCTCGCACATACATCCCCAAATCCAGAACCGCCATGCCGACCATCCTGCAGTGACATTTGTTCGATTCTCGTACCACATGCGAGGTATCAAATACCCATGCTAAACAGTCCTCACTAATTTCATCCTGGACCCGCTTCGGACCTTCCTGTCTCGCCTCTCTTAGGCTGCGGTCATTTGCCAGGGTACCGAGTTCGAGGTACTTTGTTCGCTTTCTTTCTTTGCCGACGGTGCTGTAGGAGAGTTGCCGCCACCTCGGGTTGACTGACTGCCAAAGCGCATCACCTTTCGAAGTGGGGATGGTGTGGCTGGTTGAAAGGCCAACGATGCCATTGTCGACTTCAGGTCAGCCGTATCCTTCCTCTTAAAAAGTCCTCCAAAATGTAAACTCTTACTTTTCTTCACCGTCCTTCCTTTGCCACTGTCCGTGTTGCCCTGTTGATTACCGCTACGTTGGTACAACGGTGATTCCGCCTGCGGTCTGCTGTGAGTAGAGGTTGTGGACGTGATTTCGGACTTGGATTTCGAGAACAATCCCACACCACTCCTGCTCTTCTTTAATGTGCCGGCTTGTCCTTTGGTAGTGAGATCCTTTTTGCCAGAGCTTTGGGCAGACACTGAATGCCCGTCTTGGTCTCGACTGCCTCCAGAAGGGACGGCCTTTCCTGAGCGAGGTGTATCGCGAGCATACTGGCTGAGATCTCCGAGAGAAGGTGAATAGATGGGGGCATCTTCGAGTGAAGCCGTATCTGAGCCTTCACGGTCCTCGCTGTTGGGGGTTGCTGTGTGTCTCCGCGGACAGGTGAGAGGTGCATTATGGTCAAGGGACAATGCTTGTGATGCTTGGTCTAGGACGGATGGTGCTACAGCCATGGCTCCAGGCGGATGCATACGTAACGGGTTGACTCCTCTAGGATATCCAGCTATCGGCGCCGCAGGAACATAGCCATTCTTTTCGGCCGAAAACACCAATGGCGCGACCGCAGTCTGTCGGCCTGCCTGGTCTTCTTGGTTGGGCCCGAATTCTTGTGATCGAGAATTGTGTAGCCCATCATGTCTCGCTGCTGAGGCTGGCTTTTGAAGATGGCCCTTGGGATTGAAACCGCCCAAGAGATCTGATTGGGATGACGCAGCTATCGCTTGAGCGACTGGAGGCGCTGGCTTGGAAGGCGAAATTGGTGGGAATTGCCGGCTCGTCTCATCTTGATCGTTGCCTCCTTTCCCTCCTTGCTTAGAATGGAAGAAGGAGGATTTGGACCTGAGGAAAGACATGTTGCGTGGCAGACTAGAGTAAAAGTCCAGTTTATCAACGGCGCTGGCAAATGATCTGGTGAGTGAACCAAACCCAGACTCATTGTCGCTGTGTTCGGCAGCGAAATCTGTCGGGGGAAGGTCTATGATGTCGCCGCGACCAAGAAGAGGCGAGTCTCCCCCTCTTGATTCTGCTGCACCTTTGTCGGTGTTCACAGACTTGCGTCGAATGTGACCATTTCCTGTGAAGCCTTTGATCTTGCCTTTATAGAGATTCAACGTTTCTGCTCGCGAATGGGGCAAATCTCTCCTCAATGTCGGCCCTTCATCGCCTTGCACATCTCCAGGTGTCTCCGGAATTTGCTTGTGCTGTGCCGTTATCCCTGCTGGGCGTAAAGTCCCGTTTCGAATCCTACTCCTGATGGCATTCCTGAGTCGCAAAATCCTTCCTCGTTTCGATGTCGTCAAATTGGCAATGCCTCCGGGACTTTCACCACAACGTCCACTGGAAGCTTTTGCGTGACGCGATGACCCTTCAGTGTCCTGATTGCTACTTGCTACCCAGCCAACTTGTGAGTTCCAAGAGGATTGAGCAAAAGCCACATCAAACATTTCTCCACAATGGACTCCTTCAGCTCGAGCCACGGTGACATTCGTGGTACTGGTGAGGACGGGAGCAGAAATGACACTCCGAGCGACCGTGGAAGTACTGGCGGTCTTTGGTAATTGAGTGGAGATGCTGCGAGGATATGGACTTTGAGGGGGTAAACGCGAAAAGGGCAGCCACGATCTGGGACGCAGTCGATTTGTTCGACGGCGGGTGCTCTGAATTGGCAGCACGGCAGCCTCTGCATCTCCCCGAGTCTGCTGGCCGACGTCATGATCTCCCAGTTCTTGTGGTGATTGAGGAGTTGACTTGACAGATTCCTCCACGACATGGCCAGGGGAAATCGGCTCGGGCGAGGCTGGCGGTTGATTTTTGGGATCACATCGATAAGAGAGGCTTGACTCTGTTCGATTACGCAGTTCATCCTTTGAGGGAATCCGAGATGCTGGAATGAAAGGTCAGCCGGTGATAATGTGACTTCGAGAATGTCTTACCTTGTCGTGAACCGGCACGACTGAACGATCGAATAGTGTCAAAGGAAAAGATGGAGAATGAGCCTTTGCTCCGAGATCGTGTGTGGGAAATCATGCTGGCCGAACAACGACACAAACCTTGTCACAGGACGATCATTATCTTTCTGGTCACACCTGAGCCATGTGCCTCCCACGACAGCGAGGTGAGGAGGTGAAGAGGGAGGTCGGTGGATGAGCCTAACTGGAGGCTCTACGAAGCTGGACGAAGCCGCAGAAGCATCTTTCGCGGAGCTGACGATGGCAATTGAATTAAAGCTGAGGAAAAGTCATGGCCATGGCAAGCCCATCCCGACGCATGCAGTAGCAGGTGCAGGCGCAGGCAAGACGAAGTGCTGGTGTCATTGTCGTTCGGGAAGGAGCGATACTGCGATGATGCTACGAGGAAGTCATACCCCCCAACCTCACATTGAATATTGTATTTCGTCCTGCTGGGATCGTCCTTTAGTGTAGATGAACAATTTGCCTCATCTTTGTGTCCACGTTTACGATTCTCAGGGGAAGCCATCATAGTCTTGCGCGAAGTCCTAGCATATCCCTATACCTACAACGACCCCATTCGTGGGCTGCACCGACAGTCATCATCAACCGTTCAATCAAAGTATACGAGGCATGTGCAATGGAAGAAATCTCGTGAGGCTTCCAATGGGAAAACACCTTGGCGGATACACCACAACTAGTCAAACAACCGCGGCAATCAACGGCCTAATCGCGGTTTTCCGGACTCGTTCCGGGGAGAGGGACGAGGGCACGGTCTTCTTTGCCTCGATTATGACAGCCCCGCATATCGAGTCGAAAGCCGGATTTATAAAATCCGATAATAACCTCCTATCCTCTGCCAGAGTCGGACTATTAACGCAATTGACTCCCCTGCTATCTGAACGCGAGATCAGCCGATCCAAAGGAACCCGGCCATTTTCACCCCACCAATATGCCATACTCTCTCAAAGGCCGCAATGTTTTGGTGACAGGAGGATCTAGGCAAGTTCTCGGTCAGCTCCGGCATGAACACATGTGATTAACAAAAAGACGCCAGGGGCCTCGGGGCGCTTATCTGTGAGAAGTTCGCAGCAGAAGGATCGAACATTGTCGTAAACTATGTCAGCAGCAAAGACAGAGCCGACCAGGTCGCCGAGAAGTGTAAAGGGCTGGGGGTCAAGGCTGTCGTAATCCAGGCTGTGAGAATGCTGAGCCACCTGAAACACAACAGGTCGCCCTTTCTGACATACCAAAACCCAGGACATTGGAGTCGTCAGCGACACTGTGCGGCTAGTGAAAGAGAGCGTTGAGCAATTGGGAGGACTTGATATTATCATTAACAATGCTGGCTGGACTAGGTTCACGAACTTTGGAGACATCTATGATATGAGCCATGCTGAATGGGACAAGGTATGGCAATGATGCGCAGCCAAGTATCCCTTTAGCTGACTGTCACAGTGTTGGGCCACCAACGTCATGTCCCACCTCGTGTTGATGCAGGAAGCTGCTCCGATCTTCAACAAGAACCCGGATGGCGGCGTATTCATCATCTCTTCCTCTGTTGCGGTAGGTTGATGATTCTTCGAACCGGAGCAGTTGCTGAAGTTGGGTCAGGGTATAAGCTGCGGCGGAAGCTCAATGGCGTACTCCACCAGTAAAGCTGCAGGTCTACATCTGATGAAATGCCTCGCCTCTACGCAAGGGCCAAAGATCCGTATAAATGCCGTGCTGCCAGGTCTTCTCCTGACGGAATGGGTAGGTCTTTCTGTATCTGCACGTGCGAATGCAAAACAATGGCGTTAACACCACCAATAGGGCCTGAAATTCAGTGAGGAGCGTATCCAGGCTGTTAAGAACAGCGCCGCTCTTAAGCAAGAGGTATGGCCGCTTCTCCGGATAATATCCGCCCAACTGACAGCCTTCGCAGACTTTACTCGACGACTGCGCAGATGCCTATATTTCGCTAGCGAAAAACACGTCTATGACCGGCCAGCAGGTTGTCGTCGGTGAGTTCCACGTAATGCCCATCCTTCCAGAGGGAGTCGCTGACGAAGACTAGATTCGGGTGTTGTCATTCGTTAGACCGCTGGGACCAAGTTTTGGTGGAGGTGCCGTGCATTCAACGAATGGTGGTTCTGGAAATCCAGAGATAGGGTGGGAGAAACGATACAACTTGTACTTGCCAAAGACTTCGGGCTGTGAGAAGAATTTGGCACGGGCGGCTGCTCCTGCGCCCGGACCTTTTGCCCTGGACGAGACAGTGATGGTGGGAATGACAATTTGGCACCCCTCTTGATACTTGTCTGGCCGCGCGTTGATGATTAGAGGCTCTGAACTCTCGTTGACATTCTCGTGTGCAGCAATAATTGCGTAGGGAACGCCAGCCGGCATTGCTTGCGCTGCCACCCGGACTTCTTCTGGGACGTCTCCATCTCTTATATTCCTCATGTCCGCTCCGAAATTGATACGGAGCACCTGGGACGGCTCGGGGCCGAACCTCACAAATCCATGAAGAGACTGAAGTGCCCGGTTTCGCCTGATGATCTCGGGTTTCGTGAGTGCCTCAAAGTCGATGGCGCATAGCTCGCTCGTGATCTTTGGAGCACGCGTCAGGTCCTTGCCCGCCATATTGCTGGAATCCACAGCATTGTAGGGCGGGATGTAAAGACGGTTCCGGATGGCATTGACCAACATCTGGGCGCCAATGAGAGCTAGGTAGCTCGTGAGTTCTTGTGCCGTGATGTCGTTGGGATGCGGGATTTCCAGCCCCGGAGGCGGCGTCTGGTCCAGGACGATGCCCTCGTCGAAGCGCGTCGGGTGGAGCGTCTGCAGCGAGACACCGGTCCTCTCTCGACCGAGGATGATGGCCCATTGGATCGGCGCCGGGCCCGAGAGATCCGGGAGCATGGACGGGTGGACGTTGAGACCACCGTATTTCGCGGCCCCGAGGATTCGCGGCGGGATCAACAGGCCAAACGAGACGGCGACGATCAGGTTGCAAGCTGCTGCCGTGGTGGGCGGACTCCAACCCCTGAACGTGTCGATCTGGTGCACGGGCAACCCCAGCTCCTGCGCGGCGGGCTTGATGGCCGGCGGCCTGACGAGCTTGCGGCCCCGGCCGACTCGCTTGTCGGTCCTGGTCACGACGTCGATGGAGCGGACGTTGCTGCCGCGGGTCTTGGAGTACTGGGCCAGAGCCTGCAGCGAGGCCACGCTGAACTGGTCGGTGCCGCAGAAGAGGATTCTCAGGGAGTCGGAGTCGTCGACGTCATCACTTCTGGCAGACTTGAGGCTGGACTTGAGGCTGGAAAAGTGTCGTCGTCGTTGTCGGCAAGCAGTACCGGCAATAGCACATTTCCCAAAGCTCCATTTCGACACGTGAGCCCCGTGTGACCGGGCTGCCACGCCGAGTGGAAACAGCCTCATACGTGGTTTTTAACCCAGGGAATTGAAAACCCTCAAATATTCAAGGTAGAGTGGCGTTCATAGCATCAAGTTGGACTGTGAGTTGAAAATAGGCAGTCAGGAGTATCTGAGAATTGGTGAAAGCTCAACCCACCTGATTGGGTAGATATCCATTGCCGCTTTATATTTAGAGTAGAAAGTCTAAGATTATGGCGATATAATTGGCTACTAATGGACAGCTGTACTAAAACGGCTAGAAAATGTGCCTTGTTGAGAATTCGACCCGTCCCATCCCAGACTCTTCATTCCCGCGCACATTCATGGACATGACAGGTACATCCTTTGCAGACCCTGTTTGGTTTTTCATCTAGGGATCCCAGAATAGCAGAGGCACCTATAACTCTAAAGATCCATCTCGTCAATACATGTCTCCCGCAGCGCTATGACGTCTAGACACTCGAACCATCTCTAAGCGAACCAATATACTCCGTATGCACACTATACCCCTTCCGCGGCGTCGAGAAATCCCCGGTACACAAATCTGGAAGTCGTCTACCGAGCCAGATATCGAGACCACTCACGGCCACAGACCAACTGCAAATCCTGACGAGCCTCCACGTTTTGATATCCCTGGAAATCGCTGGCATACTCCATGCGCAGACTCCTGGCGGACTCTTTGGTCTCTGCATCGGCCGCCCCGGTCTCGGCGGCCAGGAGACAGACGCCGAGGGCAGACGCGCCGAGGGGTCGGTACGGAGATGCGAGTCTGGACAGGTTGACGATCTCGAGGGAAAATTCGTGCGACTCTTGCAGGATCTCGGCCGCGTCGAGGCTCACGGCCAGCCGTGTCTCGTTGATGAGGATGGCGATGGTCAGGACGAGGGCGTAGGACCGCAGGAAGTGGCAGTGCGCCAGGCCGGCCAGGTGAGGCATTCGTGGGAACACACTGTCTGGGTTCGCCGAGACCTTCTCCCATCGCTGCCGGACGAGTGAGAGTGCGGGCTCGAGTTCTGCGCGGAGTGCATGGGCCTCTTTCTCCAAGTCGGCCAGTTGATCCCGGGAGTCCAGGTCCCCCATCAGGAAGGCCTTGCTTCGACGCATTAGATTCGGCACACGGGTCAAGCGTTGTACCGCCTGGCCTTCCGGACTGAGGTCATACAGCTGGCTATCGAACATGGACACCCACTCTTGGTCGGTGAAAGTGATGCGGCCATTGAAGAGGGAGTCAAAAAGCTGGAAAGGGTGTCGAACGTCAGCGACTGAGGAACCTTTGGCGCCTCCAGACAGGGACTCACCACAACGGCACGCAGACTGAGGAGTAGATTGGACTCGAAGGGGTCGTGACAGTTGTCCACACTTCCTCTCAATTTGAGAATCTGGGCAACACCATCTGCATGTGCGGTGATGGGCCCGTTCCGTTGCCATATGAACTGCTAGAGCGGCTGGGAATTAGCAACAAAATAGGAACGGTGGCACCGGGTTGTCAGGGCTTGGACAAGTCTCACCTGGCAATTCCACAGGAACAAAATGGCGCAGAGCGTCTCCGGGCTTCTCGCCTTGACGGGGTCATCCAAACACCTTCTCAGAATGGCCAAGGTTTGCCCGTATTTTTCCAGCAGAACGGGATTGCTTCTGGTGCCGAGCGGATCCGCCAGCGTCGCAAAAGCCGTCAAGAAGGTGTCGGTGGCACTATCCAGAGCCTCGTTCATGCCTAGACGAGCTGGGACGTGGTTGAGATAGTCGCCGTACGTCCAGGCCAGATTGTACTGGACACCAAGGGTGGGTTTGATTTTATCGGCAAAGGCACTCGCGAGTCGAGCCGTGTCGTTGACTGGGGATCGAGATATCGTGAGCATGTCGAAACTCGGCGGGTTCTGAGCGGCGGACCCCGTCCTGGTCCCAGCAGCTTCTGGTGTCTGAACTGAAGCGTCGCCCGACAGCGTGGTTGACGTCCTGTTGCTGTTGTTGTCGGACACGAACTTGTACCGACGCCTCCCGAGTCCGACGCAGGGGATATTAAGCCGTCTGCACCGCGGACACGGGTGCGTGGTGGGATCACACTAAATTGGGGAGGATAGACGTTGGAGCTTAGCATCACCACACCGGACCTCATTGTGATTTTTTTCTTGGTAATACCTTTTTCTTTTGCTGCCGACATGCATCGCACCCTCGTCCGGAGGGAACACCAGGCATTCTGGACTGCAACCATCGCGCGCGCGGGTGGGCGACGGCAACGACAATAAACGACAACGGAGGGAAAACGAATATCCTTTCTAGTTGGTCTGGGGGAGAAAGAGAAGTAAGTACCTGCATACACACGTATACCGAACGTGTGTTTTTAAGGCCGCCCGGAACGATTTGGTTCCCCGACGGAAAGAGCCAATGGAGATTGGTCTGGGTCGGGGTTTGGGGACGGACCGACAGCACACAAGTACAAGTACACAGCATTGGCATTGGCATTGGCGTTGGCGTTGTAGATCGCTGCGGTACGTATAATACGCATGGTACGTCTGTACCAAGGACGTACAGTGGCACCAGTGGCAATAGGTTGGTAGCACAGCAATTACATAGGCACCATTCTACATATACTTTGGAGCGTTGGTGGTGGTGATGGGAGGACACCGGAGAATACTCGTTACACGGCCAGCCCAGGACCATTATTAGGCATTTCCTCCCATAAGTACAGACTAACTAGGCCTTTACGGATTGTCATCCCCTGTGGTCGACCACCAAGTTATTATTCTGTCGCATGGCTTCTGAAAAGGTCAAGAGGTCCTTCAAAAGTCCCATCGAGATTTGATCAACGAGTCATACATCTATTTTCCGTGAGGACACAACCCAGTGTAGGGCTTTAATTCGTCTTGACGAGTCTCGTCCTCCATGCCGCAGGGCTGACTGCGACCGCACCGCCGCTCGCATCCAGATCAAACACGAAAAGTCCCAAACCAATGCCACCATACGTCGGCGAGTCACCCGCGAGCCAGTCAATGTTGGCGTTGTATTGTCGAGAGAACAGTCCACCCGAGGTGGCATGAAACGAGGAAGTCCTGAAAGCGACTCGTCCGTTGGCTCGATCAGATATCGAGTGCAAGAGCCTCACCGGACTGTCACCGAGTAAGCCACTCGCTAAAACATCCGTGCCGTTGCTGACAAAGTTACTGATCACCAACCCGGGTTTCCCTTGTGGGTTGATGGCCAATGTCAACGTGCTGTTGAGATTCTCGTCTTCTGATGTGTACGTGCCCACAAAACCTTGTCGCGCCTCAGCTTGCGCCTCAGCAGCCAAAGCGGGGAGCATCTTTTCAGTGACGAGGTCCGCTATGGAGGCAGTCAACGGAGAACGCTCGGGTAGAGAGCTCGCGCCGATGATGCTGAAGCCTGCATCAAAGTCGGGGATGAGCGCTATGTAGCCGCCAAAGTAGCCCGAGTCGCCCAGCTTCGTGTAGATGTCGGTGACATGTCCAGTCTCCGGGTGTGTGTAACGGTATATCTCCCACGGTCTGCCTATCGAGTATTCGAGCAAGGCAGTGTGCGTGACTGGCTTCATCCATTTGCGTGTCTGGTCGAGGTCAAGAAGGGTTCCATTTAGAATAGCCGTACCCAATCTCGCAAGGTCGTTCGTGGTGGAGAAAATGCCACCCGAGGGTACGGTCACATCGAGAGCTTCGCCGTCTGTCAATGCCGCTGTGGTGACATTGCCAGGAATGACGTACTGGCTGTATTCGGACGCATTGGGGACCTGGGAGTATGAAGAAGCCATTCCCAGAGGGCTGAAGATACTTTCGCGGTAGACATCGTGGATCGAGGTACCAGTAATGTTGGCTATCGCTGCACCAAGCAACATATACCCGTAGTCTGTATAGGCTGGACTGGTCCAAGGCTGGAACAGCGGTGGTCGACCTGCGGCGCCAATTGCGTATTCATTGTTGGAGCAGGTCCAGTTTCCCGCGAGTGCAGAGACCAAGCATGGAGGGGCGGCCAGCGGGTCGCTCTCATTCAGAGGTGGCAGCCCGAATGTGTTCAACAGCGCATTGGCACCGACCAGAAACAGATAGTCCCCCGGGTCAAAGGGTGTGACGTCTCGTGGATTGCCTGCTATTTGACTGGCGAGAGCAGCAAGTGTGACCTTGTCCCAGGCGACAGTAAGCGTAGAATCATTCTCTGCCGGATGCGCCGCTGCATACGCTGCAAACGTCGGAATAAAGTCGGTAATAGGACGATCCCAATCACTATCGTTCAAATTGAGCATTCCCGCAAAGGTCGTGAAAATTTTGGAGATGCTGGCGACTCGGTATATGCTGTTTCCGTCCACTTTCTTCAGACCAGTGGTTGAGTTGGCAATCTCTTCGGACGTGTGATGAAACTGCAACGACCTGGCAGCAGAGGCGTCGTGGATTGAGAACATGCCCAGGGAGAAGGTGATGTTTTTCAACCCAGCAGGGCTGGTCAGATTGGTGCTTGGATTCCTGATGAACCCATTGAGAGTCGAGGTGAGATTCGTCCAAGCCGTGGCGACACGACTACCATTGCCGGCAAGATCCGTAGGAGCTGGATAGGTTGGGCCCAGGAAGTCACCAAGGACGCCTCGGGCAGAGGCAGAGATGAGAAGCAAAGTTTGTAGAGTGAGATACATTCTGATATGACTTTGTCGCAATACTTGTAGAGGTATTCAGAGGCGAAGCCATGGCTTTTACCACGGGTATATATACCTCGAACAGCATGCATCGCTCAAGGCAGATGTACTTGGCGATATGCTCCAAAGCCTCCATGGTCGACGTCAGAGACAGCATCGGTCAATACCAAGCCGCAAGATCCACAACACTAGCTGAGGTCGAGAGTTGCATCAAGCAAAGAGTCTGGGGCACGAGTTGCGCTGCTCAACGGGTCAAGCCTGGCAAGCGAACAACGCTTTAGAAGCTAGTCCCGATTTGGTTCTATGCAGCGCTCCGGTGGGAACTCCATCAATACCACTGCAGTGGCATGAATTTCCGATCCGGGACGCCTGATGATGGTATTCTGCCTTGAGCCAAGCATTGCGAGATGGTATGTTGTTGGCTTTGACAATGGCCGTTGGGCCTTCAAGATGGCAGTGTCGGTGTGATTTGGCAGCTGAGTAGAGATTGCGTCAACTTGCACACCTGCCTAGGGAACAAGGACGTTAATGATTGCTTCTTTGAGATGATGCGAGGTTGAAAAGGACCTCTGGACATACTCGTACTTGTATAGACAATAGAGATAATCAGCATCCTTCCTCATGCGGCATGGAAATTGGCACTAGTCGATATTCTCCCAAAAAGCTCTAATAATCGCCCTTCCCTTTTCGTCATGCGCACAGGCTCGGTGAAGTACGTACCTCGGTTTGCGGGGTCCAGAGTCAAATCCACTTGTTCACTTCCAAGTTTCACAGCCAGGCCGAGCCTCGTCCTCTGGGTGCTAGAGACAATCGCGATACTCGCAAGGTGCCCCCTTTCTTGCTGTCGAGATACTCTTCCGTGCTTCGAACATCCAGAGCCTCTCTTCGACACCTCTAAATTCGTGTCTTCCGCACTATCACCAGCCGCAACGAACGACATACAAGTGCCGAACTCGACGTCACCCGATTGTCAAGGCACTGTGCGCTCGACTGTCTTGTCTTGGCTGGCATAGCCATTTACCAAAATGGCTGAACCACCTCAGTCCTCAGACTCCAAGTTGCAAGCGACGACAGCCTCGCAACCAGAAGCCTCAAGTCAAAAGCCTCCCGAAGCAGCCATAGATGAGGATTCAGATCCAGATTTTGACGACCTCGACGGTACGCATGCGCGCGCAAGCTTGATCTATGCTCTTGCCTCCCTCAAACCAGATGGTCATCGATGCTGACACGCTCCCCTTCTCTAGATGTTCTCGATCAATTCTCCGCCGCTACCTCTCAGCAACAATCAAAATCCCTCTCTTCAGAACCTGCCCCTTCATCCTCAGGTCCAGGCAGACCGTCGACCGAGAAATCAGCCCTCCCGCCAGACCTACACATCCCCTCTGGTCCTCATGCCTCGGAATCAGATGATGAATTCATGGCTCGGCTGACCGCTGAAATGTCCGACGTCATGTCCAAGATGTCGCTCGATCCAGCCGCTAGCGCTGCCACACCTGAGGATCTTTCAAAGATGGGACGCGAACTCGAGGAATTCACGCAGAAAATGGAGGCCGAGGGCATCAAACCCGAGGACCTCCTGAAGGCCATCTTGGGGGAAGATGTCGGCGGGAAAGTCGGGGATATGGCACACGCGGAAGCGACGAGGAGGGACAGTGAGTCCAAGGCCAAGTCGAAATCACGGAGCCCGGAAGCGCCAGGAGGGACAGCTATAAGCCCGTCAGCATCAGCATCGACAGGGTCAGCGACCACGGCGAAACAAGGGTCGAGCTCGTTCGAGGACACGATCCGTAAGACCATGGCGCGCATGGAGTCGTCCTCGGCTGCGGCGACGTCAGCGACAGCCAAGTCATCCCAGCAAAAGTCAGAAGAGGACATGCTGGCCGAGATGCTGCGGGCGCTGGAGGCCGAGTCCGGGTCGCAGTCGGACAGCGAGCTGTCCAAGATGTTCCTGGGCATGATGGAGCAGCTGACCAACAAGGACATGCTGTACGAGCCCATGAAGGAGCTGTCGGAGAAGTTCCCCGACTACCTGCAGACAAACCAGCCGCCGAAACTCGCGCAGGCCGAGCACGAGCGCTTCTCGCGCCAGCATGTCATCGTGCGCACCATCGTGGCCAAGTTCGAGGAACCGGGCTACAGCGACGACGACCCCAAGTGCCGCGAGTTCATCTGGGAGAAGATGCAGGAGATGCAGAGCGAGGGCGCACCCCCGGACGACCTCGTTGCCAACCCCCTACCGGGTATGGGCGGATTGTTGGGAGGCGACGGAGGCGAGGGTCCGGAAGAAGGGTGTCCAACTCAGTAGGTGACGAGTGGTTGAGCCAGCCTGAGAGAGGGTTTATGGCGAGAAAGGTTTAGCAACTGCTATATATGGCCCGTTTGTTTGTGACGGTAGAAAGCGATGGATGGGCACAGGCTGCGCAGCCGACCACGACGCGTGGAGGGAAAAAAAGAGGTTCAAAGCCTGACTCGTTTGAAAGGGAATGCTTTATTCGAAATAATACAGGACCGAGTACACCGTGGAGCAATCTGAGCAATATTTACCTGCCTAGGTAGTTCCCGAGCAGTGCTCGTGATACCACATACACATTCTTCACTTGTATGTCCACACACACAGTACCTCTGTAGGCAGGTTTAGGTATTTCGAGTATTCGGTAGAGAGGACTTTTTTCATATTAGGGGGCTTAAAAGATATCAGTCATGAGAGGATAGAACGGTTTCGCAGAATCAGCAGCAGAGGAGGAGGTAGATGTGCAGGTACAAGAGGAGAGAGACATGGTTGTCTTTCTCGGTCTATTGGTGTTGAAGAGAAGCTGGTGACGAAGGGACTGCCTTCGTAGTCAATGTCTTGACAGTATCGACATGTTTGACACCCTGGACGGCATCATGGCATCATGGTGCCACCCTCAAGACAGGCTCTCAATCTCACTCAATGCTGTATGTGTGTATCTATGTGTGTATGATTGTCTACGGCAAACGCGCCATTGCCAGACTGTGCTCCTCTCACAATGTTTGTACGGATGGGCGAATGCCACAATGTGACCTTGCATGATTACTCGGTACACCCGCAACAATTCTCAGCTTTCAGAGTCTGGTACCACAATTTCTCCCAAAAAAACTCAGACATAATCAAGATAGATCCATCGTTTCATCATTTAATGTGTTCCCATGCTGCGGCAGCGGAGGCTCGCCAGGAAGAGAAGTCTGCGCTGTATGCAGACTCGTTTGACCGATGACTCGTTCATTTTCCGGTCGTGGCGGTTGAGACGCCGGTAGGTTTTGCGATAGAGGCTGCGAGTGCTGAGACAGGATCTCCATCTCTCTAAACAATCGCTCATATTCTTCGTCCTCGGCATCTTCGACCACAAATTCATCATCCTTCACCGTTTGGAGTTGCTCTTGCTGATATTGCCGTATCAACTCATCCACTTCGACATCTTCCTCGAATTCGTGCGTCGGGCTTAGCTCCGGTTCTTCTTCTTCATCGTCGTCATCGTCATCTTCGCTCTCCACCTCCTCTTCTTGAGCAGCCTCCATTGCAGCTCTGCGTGCCATTTCTCTCTCCCAGACCCTCCTCTCTTTGACAAAATCCATTCGCAACACCTGCTCGCCGACCTGTTCGGATCTGTCGTCGTCTCTTCTCCGCCGAATGCGATCTAGGAACTTCGACTTTCTTTGTTCTCGACTTCTGTTGGTTTGACTGTTCAGAAGAGATGACGGACTCGATGAGCGGGAGCGCAGTTCCCATTGTGACGGATTCTGATGGCCCGAAGTCGTCGAGATACTTGGGCGCGGGATACTGGCGAACGAGGTAGATGGAGAGGGGTCGAAAGTTGATTGCTCGTGCGAGAAGACCTTTGAGCCGAATTTGCGGTTCGAGCCTGAATCAGGCGGCGAAATCAATGATACCTGCCCGTCGCATCCATATGTTCGGAAATCCAGCTTTCCTGTAGGTGTCTCCTGCACCTTCGAACGGAAGCCAGAGGCCGACAATGTCTCAATTCCTTCCTCGTTCTCACTCTCCATGCTGTTCTCATCTTGATGCTCCGACAAACCACCCCGCAGTGGCGACGAACTCAGCAAGCTACTACAATAATCGCCCTTGCGCTGCGGAGGGGAAGGCATCAGGTTCGCATTCCTCGTCGTCCGCAGCGGCGAGGGAGAATGGGGAGCGTAGGACGCCCGAGCGTGCGCCCGCCCGTAGGTATTGTCGTGACTGGGAGAGTTTGAGAAAGTCGGGTGGCGGGACTTTTGAGAGGTCGAGGGCAGGAAAAGGTTGGACTGCTGCGGCGGAGAAGAAAGGAAGAACATCCTCTCTCCGTCTTCCCTGTGTCGTTCTTCTCTATCTGTCTGGAGTGTCGTGTATTAGCTCTCTGGTGGACGGCCAGAGTCGGGGTTGACGAGAAAGACAGGGTCTGCTTGAGAAATTTGTCTTTGTCTCTGTGAGTGGCTGGTCTCTACAACGGCTGGACGTGCAACGGGCGACTCGAGAACCGAATGACGCGTGAGCGCGACCGTGTTTGCAGACCAGCCATTAGAACATGACTAAGCTACATTTAGAATAGTCAGGTGTTCACACGACTCGCCCGAGAAAAGTACGACAATGAAAAGTTCTCGTACAACTACATCTCCATAGCATACGTAAGCGCTGGCTTACTTCAATCCTTCTTTGCATTCATGTGATTATTGTTACTGGTAGTAGACGTTGGAGGCTTCGCCTTGCTTTTATGCCAAGATTGACCTTGGACGATCATGAACTCTCAACTCACGCGAATCAACGGTGAAACATTGGAGGGAAAATGCGACACAACAAAAGGGAAAAGGGAAATTTGTATCTCTAGCTAGCCAATGCCTCAGACCACGCCTAGCCCCAATTTCCATATCCTATGTACAGCTTCAAACAAGATAGGACATTGGTGAAAATAAGTGCTGAGCAGCACGAATTATGCCCCCCTAATACATTGGAAGCAGTTTCATTCACTGTAAATTGCCCTCCCGGCCGATCCGGGTGGGTCTTGGTTGGATGGGTTTTGATGTTTGAAAGGACCCACGCAAGTTGCGCTCTCTCTCGCTAATAAAAGTCGAAGACCAAGTGCTGTCATAACGATCGTCAAGGTATTAGTTTGGTAGCTCGCGGCTTCTAAAAGTTTGACGCGGTGTTGACAGGTCCGGGAGAATGGTATTGATCCAGCGTGGAACGGAACGGCGTAGAATCAGACCCTGTGGTGCCGCTGAGTTTGTCTTGGTTGAGATTGGGGTCGTAGAGATCATCGTCGTGAAGGCTCTTCTTCTTGCCCCAAATCCTCCAGGCGGTGTATGCCAATCCAGCAAGCAACAGAGCACCACCAACGCCGCCCACTACACCTCCAATGGTGGCCTTGGCTGTATCACTGAGACCCGAACTGCCGCCTTTGCCGCCTCCACCCGTCAGGGAAGCTGGATCAACACTGGTTGTGACTGGAACAAGGCTGCTACCGGTGCTGGTTAGATGGACGGTGCTCCCTTCGCTGACACTTGTGATTGTGGTAATGACCTCTTGGAGCGAGCTTGTAGTAATCAAAGTCCTTGATGGAGTAAATGTGCTAGTCTCCGTGGAGGTGGACTGGTCCGAAGTGCTGTCATCGTCAGAGGAGGAAGAGGAGGAAGGAGTACGTGTGGATGTCGACGTGATCACAGTCACCGAGGACGATGAGGTTGGGGGAAGGGTGATTGTGGAGGATGTGGTCTCCGTGGTGGCAGAGGTGGTATCGCTCGTAACAGTAGTAGTGGTCGAGTCGTCGTCGTCGCTGCTGGTCGGAGAGGTAGTTGGGGTGGTGGAACTGCTGGTGTCGGAACTGCCAGTAGACAATGGGACATTTTGTCGTTTGAAGAGTGCAATAGCATCATCGAGAGGATCTGCTGAAACGGCGGATGCACAGAGCAAGCTGAAAAAGACTACGGTGAGAGACCGCATCTTGTCGAGAAGATATGAAGCAAGGGAGGTTCGGATTCGAGGTACGAAGATGTTGAAACAATTGAGACCCGGCCTGGGAAGGCTTGAGGGCGTGAAGAGAGTGCGTCGGTGTCAAAGGTGTTAAGATATCCCCTCGAAGGCGAGTCAGGGCCGCGAACGAAGGGCCTGATCCTGGTGATGATCGAGGTAGTGAAAGGCACGTGTGCTTGGTGAGGGTTGGAAATTCGGTTCTACAAGAGTCAACGCAGGCGAGACGCTGATTGACGCTTGGTATTGGACAGATGATGGATGTTTAAGAAAAAGCGATGGTAATAAGACAAAGGGGTGACAAAGCGAGGGAAATATGGAGGTGTGTGGTGTTTGAAAGGTGAGAAAGAAGGAGAATGGAAAAAAGAGAAAAAGTGGACAGTGTCAGGTGTGAATAAGTGATGGAGTGAGTGAATGAGGGAGTTGAATAATGAATCAAGAAAGCGTACTCGGTAAAAGCAGTAGGATGAATGGATGAATTGAGAGGGTTGCAATTCTCTAGGCGCAGTGTGAGAAAGAGAGACGAAACACTGCAGGGATTGCCCCAGAGGCCCAGCCAAAGGCCCAGCGGGATCCTCATAGGGTGTCACCGGGGGGAGCCTAGCAGAGCTTAGTGGCAGCCCAGGCGGTGCGATTGAATGGGCAATAATTGGCGCACTGCCCCCCGACGCAGGAACAGGGTTGGGCGTGTTTGCACCAATTGCACGCCTGGCTCGACTCCCCCATGGGTCCCTGCAGTGCCTCAAGTTTCTTTGCATCCGAGCAAACCTGGAACCCAACAAACAATCTTCTCCCATTGTTCCCGCCTGTGCATCATAGTCACCTCTTCCGTGCCGAGCATTAGCCATTTATTTACTACTCCGTACGAGTTTTGCACATCCCTGGGCGCGCCAGTGCGCGCTTGTCCCATGGTTGACCATCCAGTGCCTAACGTGCCTATCCCCAAGGAGAAGGGCTGGTGAAGATTTCTTTGGGATGACGTACCCCTACCGACTACCGAGGACGCTTGCGTCGACTTCATGCATTGCACCAACTCTTCCCGCTGCAGCTCGCGTGTGGTTAGGACGAACGTGAAAAGAGGAGGAGAAGACCAAGACCCGACTATGCACATTCAACTCGCAAGAGGGTTCTCAAAATGTCATGTGTTACCGAGACGTAGGCGGAAGAGAGAAGGAAAAAAACTGCTCGTATCTGCATCTGTCACGCACACAAGGCACCATGCATGCGCATTCCGGGTGGCGTCTGTTACAGCGAATGGTGCGAGGGACCATACCTGGTAGTTGTGCCAACAAAACAAGTAGTAGTTGCCGTTGGTCGACCTAGGCGAGAATCTCGGACATTATTTCGCTTACGAGACAGATGGTGATTGTGTTGTGTATATACACAGTAATCAATGACCACATCAACGAGTCAGCTGGCATTGCCCACGTATGGGAATTGCTTTGAAAGAGAATCGAGGTTTGGGTGATGCACAGCAGTTCGTTGCCTAACCCGCGACAAATATACGACAAATTTTACTCAGATTCGAGGGCGAGATGGTCTCGAGTACTTCTTCCCAGTGACATGATCCGGCTCCCAGCATCCTCCGCCTCCTGCCCCCTTGCCACATGATTTAGATTTTTGTATTACCTGTTCCATAGTTTGCGCCACATGATACTGATCATTTTTGTTTTGTGAACAAACAGGACAAGAACGCCATAGCAGAACTGACCGTGCCCGTTCCTCACGAAGGCCCCAAGACCTATACATGGAGAGCGCGGTCCTGCTCAGAAATGGACCCCGCGAATATATCTCTTCATGCCGGGAAATTACACTTTTGCATGGTAGTATGTGCACCACTTCCTGGATACTTCTCCTCCCTTTTTCATATCACTGCATGTTCTGGCGACTCCGCATTATCCTCCTCTTTTACCTTGTACAGGTGGAACTGGATGAAGATGGTGATGTCCTCGACCATGGTTCCCAAACTGCCAATCAACCAAGGCAGATTCTTGATGACATATTTATGTTCGGTCGAGTGGCAGAGGATACCTGCGCCGTAGGTAAGGTTGCCCATCAGTGACAGGATGAAGAACAGCAGCGAGAGACCTGCGGAGAAGTCGACGAATTAGGGGATATTAGCCATAAAAAATCCCACGGTCAAATGTCAAATGGATTACACAGACAAAAATCTCTTTCTTGTTGAGCTGTTCAGAACGAGTTGGGGGAGAGTGGTGGAAGTCTTTTTGGGTTTTTTACCTTCGCAACTTCTATCCCTCGCATTCTTGATGATCTGAGGGATCCTGGCGCCCAGGTAGGCCACCGCGCTGAGGTACCCAAGCACCTGGGCACCGGCGGCCATCTCTTCTGAATCGGCACCGCCCGACGTAGGAGAGGGCTTCCACGCGCCAGACTCGTAGGCCAGAGCCCACCCAGCGGCGCCGACGACGCCAATAGCCAGCACGCTCATTGCGTTTCTGAACCAGAGCCTTGTGCCGGAGTCGTCGCTTTCCTCGAGGATTTTGGCCAGCTGGTCGTGGTGGGCGGCGGCAAAGCTGCTCCGTCGGCGTCGTAGACTCACACTGCTCCGCCTCCGGTCCATCGATCCCGGGATTGTGATACTGTTTGTGCGGGTGCGCTTGAGGAGGGGTTCTTCCTCCGAGCTCCCGTGCCTCGACTGCTCACCGTCGGCAGCACCGCTAGGAGCGGCACTCGTCTCGCCATCAGCTCCCGTAGCAGCAGCTGCGGCTGCACCACTGCTACTTGAAGCCGACGCCCGTGTAGAGAGCAGTGCCCGCGCTTCCCTCCTCTTGTTCCTGATGCCATAGTAGAGGCATTGTCCAATGAGCACGCCGTCCGCGATGCAAAAGTAGACGCCGATGGCGACCACGACGGGGACGAGCCCGGCCCACAGGGCGCCGGCGAGGTTTGCAATGTCACCCAGGAACCAGACGAATATGAAGAGGAGGGAGATGGCCTCAGCAGAGCCATTGCGGTAGTTTTCGATCAGCTGCGGCACGAGCAGGAATATCCAGCAGGCCAGCGAGATGGACCCAAATATGCCTGA